TCATGGGCGTTGGTGGCGTCGGCGATGTTGTTGTTGAGGGCGTTGGCGATGTCGTCGTCGTTTACGCTGGAGTCGCTTTCGTTCGCGTCATGTTCATCGTCGCGGCGCACTTCGTAGAATCCACGCGCGCCGATACCGCGCACTTCAGAAACAAGTGTCGTCAGCATATGGAAAGGGAGGGAGGGGCCGAGAAACATTCACCTGTAATGTTCCCATACGGGCTGATTTCAAACCAAATGTAACGGCGGAAGCGCACCACTGCAGGTGGGGTACATCAATCAACGAAGAGATAACACTGTGCCACCCACCATAGTCTTCTTGCCTGGCTCCATACAACGACTCGAACCCACGCATCGCTGAATTAGATACACCGTGAGCTTGGCGAAACAAAGCTTGAATTGGGCTTACAAGTTTCCGTGTGTGATTGCCTCATCTCCGGGAACATATCGAAATCTTCGGCTTGCTGCTCCCCTGCGACAAAAGAAAGATCAGCGGCGCAATAGCACACAAAATGCCGACTCACTTCCAAATCTCTGCTCCTCTTTATCTGCGTAGAAATCGTCCGCCAGATTGGCACCGATTTGAGCGGCTCTGCGGATCTTATACCACGTTGTGTAGGACGCAGAGGTGATCGACGCGAGCCGGTAGCTGACAACGTGCGCTTTGTAAAGCTCCTGCGCGTCGTAGTCCTCGAGGGGGTTGTAGGAGAGCCAGTTTGCCAGCAAGTCGCCCCGCAGATGTTGACGAGGGTGACGGCGGGGATTAACCTGGTTGGCCGTTGTCACCATAGAAGAAGTTGACGAAACAGAGCTGTCCTCTGAAGACGAGCTCGAAGACGAGCTGCCCTCTGAAGACGAGCTCCAAACTGAGGTGTCGTTTGAAGTCGACTCCTCCAAAGACATGCTCTCCTCGTCGGGAGAGGCTTCGTGCTTGGGCCATTTCAAGGACGGGCCCATGTCACCAATCGATTTGTCTTCGGGGCGTTCACGCTTGACACACGTGGTGCCTGCCTCCGGTTCGAGCTTCACGCAGGCGAGTGTGGTGGTGACAGCGTCGGGTTCGAGTTTCACGAGGGCGACCGTGGTGACAGCGTCGGGGTCGAGCTTCATGCGGGCGAGCGTGGTGGCAGCATCGGCTTCAAGCTTGACGCGAGCGAGCACGTCGGAGGCAGAGACAGAGTCGTACTGGGGCATCTGAGCGAGATTGTGAGACATGGTATTTCGTGGATCAACTACTCACCAGGCGGCTTTTATAATCCATTGAATCTCACAATGCGCTACCGCTGTCCCAATGCAGTCACCCACGGCCACCTTCCAACCATTGTCCTAATGCAGCCCAATTCTGCCATAACGAGAATTTCTTGGCCACCATCAGCTGCCATCTTAATTCAGCGACCCATGTGCTAATGTTCAGCTCCATTGTCCTTCCACTGGGCTGGTTCCGTGCACGTAGATGTGAACGATGTATGTAGGTGTACTGAATACAGACTCTATGATGTTTCTACTTGTGTCCGTGTCTCCAACGCCCCACAAAATTTAAACAGTTGTAAATGTCGTCGTATTCCCCCAAGCTCCTGTAACTTCCCTCGTCCGACATTTGAGTAGCTCGTCTGGACTCGGTCCCCACGCCGGCAAATCGTCCTCGTCGAGTGGCATTTTGTCGAGAGACTTTTTCCACAAGACACACAGCTCACACAGCTCATCAAGGCAGAGCTCCAGCTGGTATCGTACGGGCCTGGGGCCGCCACAGTCCTCCATCGCTGCTTTCACCGACCTCCACTCTGAAGAAAACCACTTTTGGAGGGCGCGGCGCTCGCGCAATAATTGCGGTCCCTCCTCGTCGCTTCGATCCTTGTCCAATAATGCTCAGATTCCTGACCGGATGGCGTCGTCTGCGAGCCAGTGTGGTGGGACCTCGTCGCTATCATCCAGACCCAGGTCCTGCTATATCACGTCGTCGACGTCGAGCTTGAATATGCCTTTGGGTGGGATAACGTGTGGAGCGACGGCGCCTGCGGGGGCTTTGCCATCATCAATCAGCTTCACAAGCTGTCCCCGTAGTTTGTTGTAGTCGGCACACAGCTTAGACGCTTTGGGCTCACACTTCTTAACGGCCGCCTCGATGTGCTCGTTCCGTTGGGTCTCTGGTGATGCTTTAGTCAGTGCTAATGCATCTCGTTAAGAACAGTTTCACATACCACTCGTTGTATGGCGTAACGAGCGCTCGATAGGCATCAGCTCAAACTTGCGATCTGTCAATTTCTGCCGCAAACGCTCAAGAATAGCGCGGGCCTGCATGCATGCTCCATAATATTCCGCATGCTCCAGCTGGCTCAACACAGCAGAGGTGGGCTGGATGCCCAGCTGCCTTTCGAGGTCGAACATCTTTTTCTTCTCCACCTTCCACGCCGCGCGAACACCGTCGATATTCAATTCGGCGTTCGTCCGCTCCGCTGCGGATGCGAAGTCGCCTGTGATCGCTTGTTGCAGGCCGTCTTCGACTTTCTTGCGCATCCACATCAAGTTCTCCACAGCCGTTAGACCTGCATTCTTAGACCGCCCTGTTGAAGTACATTAGCATCATGCCTATATGATTGAAATAAATCCCACCCACGTTTCAGAGGTTTTGTCTGAGTTGCCACTTGATCATCCCATTCCACGTGCAATACATCTTCAGTGACTCCGCAAGTCAACAGCACTTGCAGAGCCACCTCATGTTTGCCTTTGCAGTGGGTGGTTCGACACAGAAGCCATACTGCGAGACGACCAAGACTAAGCTTGTCGAGGTGTTCGATTTGACTGTCTAGAGTGTACAGACGGTGATGATACTAATTGAGCGTTGAATTAGATATGGCTGGAATCTCAAAACGAGGAGCGGTAGCATACCCCTGATACCCACAAGTATCCGATTAACTTGCTGATAGAGTGCCAGAAGCGCTCACAGCCCTCCCCATTGGTGAACCCAAATCCTCGACACTTGAGAGGGTGGTAGATCAATTGGCATGGCCATCGATGACCAAACGCGTGGAAGACCGACACCGCAAACATCAGGCGAGGGAGATATCGGTCGAGGAAGCCGAACTTCTCACAAGACCGATGGAGCTGGCAGACAATGTCGTACAGCAAGCCCACGCGAATGTTGAGCGGCAGATGCTGGAAAAGTGTTTCGAGCAGCAGCAGCGCGAAATACTGCTTCTCCCCTGCGGTGCGCATGTTGACCAGCCAAAGGACATGGTCGTGGCGGCAAAGTAAACCCATGAGGGCGGTGTCGTCGAAGAACTTGGTGCTAGCCTTCTCCCGCTTCTCGTCAGCCGCCTTGAAGGTTGTCTCACACTCGTCAAGGATCGAGTGAGGCACCTTCAAGCCGACGGCCTCGTATTCATCCACTTGTTCGTTCGCTCGCCGTTTTTTTTGTAGATTTGCGAGCGTTCCTGGGCTCTCGCACGAACTCCACGAACTGACCCATCGACTCCGCGGTAGCTTCAGGCACGAACACAGTACGAGTATGAGAGTGCGGTGGATCTCACTTTCCCTTGCGCCGCTTTTGCGTGAAGCAGGCGTCCAAGCAGACGTGAATGTCGACGAGTTGGGATGGGTCGTGCTCAGGGCTTCCAAAACACGCTGGGCATCTGGCGACGAGGTAGTCACTGGGTCGGGTAAGAGGAGGAGGCTCGGGGAAGGGGTTTTGAGGCGGACCATCCTTGTCGTCCGAGTCGCTGACCTCGCCTTCGTCGTCGTTAAGACAGCCACGCCTCCGAGGTGACCCTCTACTGGCAGGCGAGCCAGTCTCCTCGCGGACCCCTTTGCCCCAGACACGGGGTAACATCCTCGGTGCGGGTGGCCTCGGTGTGAAAACAATGGGAGTGGGCGACGCTGGGGGGCTGAGAGACGCCGGAGGACTCGGGGAATGTGCCACCGGGGTACGTTCTCCAGCGCTGCTCGACTCGTCGAGGATCTCATTGCGGGCCACTGCGATCAGCGTGTCGATTTCACCCACTGTGGTCTGACGTAGGCTGGTGTACCATTTCAGCGCGTTGCCAAAACGTCTGCGCAATGCATCCTGGTAATAAAGTCAGCCCGTCAATGACATCCTGAGGCATTAAACTGCATACCTGTGTCATCAATTTGTAACTTCGGCTCTTGAGGAATGCCTCCAGAGTGTTGCACCACGCCGTGTTATTCGGTGGCATATTGACGAACAAGCGCATGGCGGAGTCGAGCAGCCCAATGTCGACTGCGAGGCTTGGTAACACCGGGGCACAGGCGAAAAGCCCCGCATGCAGGAGCTGGTCCGGCGCGGGGTTGCAGCTGCAGACTTCAATACGGACCCGCTCGAGAGTGGTCATCCACACCAGCGCGACTTCGAGCGCCCGCTTGTCATGACAATTGCACTCCGGGGCCGTTTCCACCCGTAGCTTGCTTGTATTCCTCAGCGATTCCATCTCGTACATGACGCGCATGAAAATGGGGCGCAGACGCGGAAGTACCGCGGTCTGCCAGCGTTGCCACTGATTGGCGCACTTGCGACGATGAGCGCGCAACTTTGTCGGGCTGGGACCATCGCCCAACGAGACGTGCTGGCTGGTCTGGAAGTCCTTGCCCAACCCATCCTCGTTCTCCGTCACGTCGGGACCTTTGCGCCCTTTGTGCTGTGTCCGGGGATGCTGGCTGAGCGTTACCCCGTTGGCGCAGAAGACGAGGGGTTTGGGCTGGTGGGTCTTGATTTGAGTAAGCCCATGGGTGGGCTTCGGTACAATAAACGTCGGAGCACTGGAGTCGCACAGCTCAAGCCGCTTCTTCGTCATCCGCATCGTGGCGGGGTGGTGGTCGGAAGCAACACAGGGGATGCCATGTGCGGGCTATTGTCCTCCGTTGACCGGAAGGCAAGCCTTAGCTGTAATATATAGTCTAAATCCCCTGGCTCTAGCCAGCTGGTGCTTTGTCTATATAGATGGACCTAGCCAGCCCCTGCCCAGCCAAAGATTTGCCGGCCAAAATAAATGCCAGCAGCGGGATTCGAACCCACAACCTGATTATATAAGCATTTCTCAAAAGAAGCATCTTAACCACTATACCAAAGCAGCCTTTGATGTTTTCTAGTTAGGGTAGGGGTTGCAAGCAACCCTGTGACCCTAACTGGGAAATTGGATACCCAGAGCTAGGGCAGGCAAGCTGCCCTACCTCTTCGGATGTGGGATTACATGTGGATTATGTGTTTTGAAGCGTTTCTAACCCTAACCAGCTAACCAGCTAACCTTTCCTAACCCCCTAACCCCTAACCTCCTAACCTCCTAACCCCCTAACCTTTTCTTTGACGTCCCTGTGAACCCTAACCACCCTAACTCCTAACCCCTAACCCCTAACCTCTAACCTAAACACTAACCAGCCCCTTTGGGGCATTGTGGTGAAATTAAATGCTATCCCAATGACACCATGTATACCTACCACATTGTTGCTTTTCTACTCCTGTTTAGCTTACTTGGTTGTAGTGCTACTCCTAGTTACTTATGTAATTAGTGTTTCATGCTTTTGGGTTCGAATCCCTGCACTAACCTTTTATTATTCTTTTCATTTTACCTGCTTACAGGGCCTGGCTGGGTGCAACAGGGTAAACAAAGGACGGGATGGCTAGGGCCATGTCGTTAGACCTACTGCTACAGCTATGGGTGGGAAGGCCACTCCGCCATCAGGCGAGGCCATTGTCCTCTGTTTCCATCTTTCACTCACTTCATTCCACCGTTTGATACCTTCAGCACTTGTATGTGTACATTAGGGTAAGTATGTGCTCTATATATTACATTGTACTTAGTTCGTTTCACTAAAATACATTATTTCGTTCTACGCTACATGGGAGTAAGAGACAAGAGGGAATAAGCGCCCGGACCAAACAGGACCACAACTGACCAATACAAGTGACAGTATGACGCTGTGACTTGACGCGTTCACGTGACTGGACTTAGACGCGTCTTAACTCATGTTTTTTTCACAACAAAAATGGAACAAACGTACCAGTCAAACCCACTGAAGTTGTGCTCCCTCGAGGGGCGAATGAATAAAGGTGTACATTTAACTACTTACAATATACATGTATACGATATTATTGTACTACTTAAAAGTTCGACACCTCGGTAGCATTGATGCCGTAGGTCGGTATGTTCATGGCGTGGCAGAGAGACGTGAGCGGGTAAGATTCGATGGGGTTATCCTCCAAGTCCCCATATTTTTGGAATCGGACCTTGACGACTGTCACCGTGTTGCTCTGAGAGACCGAAAAGGTGGATGACCTGGAAGAATCGATAGCAGAGGCAACGGGCTCGACAACAATGAAGCCATATTCCCCCATGTACAGCTGGCCTCCAGCCACATCGGGGCCAATAATGACGACCCGCCAGCCATACTTGCTGATGCAGTCCGTGTTCTCGCGTCCATGCACATATGAAGTGCGCATGGGCTTAACACAGGGCGGCGGCAGAGTATATTCCCTGATTGGGTTCTGGTCGAGCATCGGCTTGACGAGCTTTTTGTTGACGTTCTCCGGTGTCAGGTCCGAATTGACCTGAATGACGAGGAAGCCGTATTTACCCTCCGCCTTCACCTGTTTTTCCCTGGGATGGCCATAGTTGCCTTTGCTGAAACTCGCCGCGACGCCGGATATTCTGATATCGAGTCGTTTCCCTCGCAGTCTCGGATCTGCGAACCAGGATCCACCTTCCTCATCCACTGCCGATTCATCAGCATGGGGGGGGAAAAGCAAAAAAAAAAAAAAAAAAAAAAAACTCGCCACTTGGGCACGGAGGTGGCCAAGGTAATGTGGTTCCCAGAGGTGGGGGAGTCAGCACGCGCACAGGGACGTTAACCTTTTCGCCCACCCATCGCGCGCGAGGCACTTTGACTGCTTCTTCCAGGGAAAGACGAGATCTAAATCAATGTCAGCTTCCGTAGCGAAACTGAGAAACAGTGCCTAACTCATAATGGAACGCATGCTTGAGTGGAATGTCCACACAGTGGTTGTCGCGCAGCCTCAGTGTCAGCACAATGCTCGTCGTCCCATCCGGTTTCAGCTCGTCGTGCTCCCCAATCACCATGCCCTGGTGGGTTTTTTCTGGGTGGTCCCCAGAGACCTGCACGTTGAAGCCCTCGTACACTTTACCGTGGTTCACGCCGAGGTTCAGAATGGTCTGGATATCCACCTGCGTCAGCCCACGTCTCACCTCGACGATGTTTTGAAGGTCAAGGGGGACCTCCTGCACCGTTTGGGAATTCTCGAATTTGACGTTCAGCAACATGGTTGTACCGCCGTCGGCATTTTGGCGGATCCCCTGGCTGACGACGATACCCCGCGCGTTCTGCTGGGGACCCTCGGTGAGGGCCTGGATGCAACGGCCAACGTATTCTTGGCCGGACAGAGCTCCTGTCTTGGGCTTCAACTGCACCATGCTTGTCCAGCGGGCATGGGGGAAATCGGGCTTGAGAACGCCTCGGATGAGCTTGAAAGCATTTTCGCGCGCAGGGAGGGGCAATTGGCTTTGGGTTGGAAGCAGCGCCTGAATATCAAATTCAGGTCGCGGCTCATGCCACAGAAGCGTGCCACGAACATAGAGCTTTGGTCCAGGTGTGAGCAAGTACTGTAACAATTGAAGATGTATGTCCACTCACAAAAGTTGGATTATCCTGGTCCTGCATCTGCATTTAACTTACCTCCAAGACCACAGTAGAGCCGCACAACCAGCTGTCCACGACGAATCCCACTCGGTCCGCCAACTGGAGTTCCGGTACGATTCAGACCCCTTCATGATTATCCTGAATCACCGCTCTACGAATGGTCGAATCGCTTTTGGTTATGCAGACGTGGTCTCCCAATCAAACTTCAAGCACGAGCTGGCCCAACGGCACGATGCCGACCAGTTTGGGTGCGTTCTCCGCGGCGGCGGCCCTTCTCTTCTTTTGATCCTCCTTGGCCTTTTTGGGCGCATACACCGCAACCGCGGCAGCCTCGGTGGCGTTTCTCTTCTCTTTGTCCTCCTTGGCCTCTTTCTCTGCATCATCCTTCAAGTCGTTCTCGATGTTTCGCACCCTCACACGAGGCATGTTGGTGTGGAACAGCTCACCAAGAGCCATGTTGCCAGGCAAACTGAGGAACGGATCGTATGGAACGGGCTGGACGTCTTCTACGCAGCAAACCTGTCCTTCCCATGCTCCTCCGACGGTGGCGACATAGTCGCCGGGCTTGAGCTGATATGGAATGGCAAGGATGTGGTGGGCAATGAGGCTTGCTGGTATGATGAGGCCGTTCTCGAATGACATCTCAAGTGCCGCGATGTCAGAAGGTCGGGCGAGGGGATTGATGATGAAATCTTCGCATTGCGCGAACTCCGGCAGGACGAGGGCACAAAGGGTGTCGTGGAGGTGACTGGAAGTGTTGTCGTACCGGCCGAAAGCGACTATGTACCCCCGTTTTGCCAGCGTGCTGGCCGCCCTTGACGAATACACGCTGGGTTATATTGCAAGGCATAGCGGGCTCATGAAGCCACATCGCTTCGATCTTGGGGTGTCCGACGTCGAAACCCGCTAGCTCCTCTGCGGTGCGATTGACTGCCGTTGTCTGCAGGTAGTTGCTCATCACTCTCCCTTTCCGGATCTTCTTCTTCATGTCGACTCGAACCAAACCTAAATCGTATGTGGCCTTGCGCGCCTCCAGCTTCTGGCTGACTTGGTCTGGCGACAACCTCTGCTTCTGCAGGAGGCGGACCTGCTCCTCGTCCGACAGTGGGACCACGTAGTACTCGTCATTGGGAACGGTGATGAGGGCGAGTCGTGTGCGGTAAGTGCCGCATTTAATGTGTGCCCATTGGACTGGATTGTAGAGAGCCCACATGGCTTTGATGCTGGGGTGCGGTACATCGAAACCTGCCATCTCGTCAGCGCTTGCAGCGACGTCGGAGGTTTGGAGCAAGTCACTCATGACACTCCCTTTCTTCTGTTTGAGCTTGGCTTTCAGGTCGATGAGGACCAAGCCGCAATAGCAAGCCGCCTGACGCTGCTGCAGCGCCCTCTGGACATCGACATCACTCATTCCCCGCTTCTGGAGAAGGGCGACCTGTTCTTTGTGAGGGAGGGCGACGAGGAGAAATTCCTCGTTGGGGACGGTGACGAGGGCAAGTCGGCCCTTGTAATCACCTCGTTTGACGCGCGCCCATGGAAGAGAGTTGCCTTCTGTGCGAGGGGCGGTGGTATCTCGGGACCGGGCCATGTAGTAGGTGGCGGCGAGCTCAGCCTGCTTGACCTCGTCCTCATCGGGCATCAGAGAGATGAGGGGGTGCCGACTCCCCAGCGGAGGAGCGTCAGGCACTTGCACATTGTCGTCGGCCCCGTCGTCAATGAAATCGGCATCCACGGCAATGGGAATGTCGCCCTCGTCGTCTTCAGCGTCGTCCTCGGCCGCTTCAATGTCGATAAAACGCGCAGCAGGGTGGTGGTGCTTTGGGTGTTTGCGTGGATGCTCGTCATGAGGGGCAACCTGTTTACCATGTAAGCTAGATAGGAGTAGAAGAATAAAACAAATACATACGGGGGTTTCTCGTCGAGGCGGTGTGGAATCGCGCGAGGCCGGCAGGAAGAGCGGCGTATTCCAGCTCTAAAAAGTGCGATACGTTAGCGGTTTCGGGTGGTAAATCAAAGATAACATACCTGGCGAGAAGGACCGGCGGGTTCACCAAACGAAAAGACGGGATTGTGGTCTTGGGGAGAGGGCGGCGGGAGCCGACGGGCGGAGAGGGTCTGCCAGTCCGGGGGAGCATCGCACTCATGGTCGGGGAAGAGCGAAAAGGGATGATTGCTGCGTTGGGAAGAGGGCGGCGGGAGCAGACGGGCGCAGAGGGTCTGCCAGTCCAGGGGGGCGTCACACTCATGGTCAGGGAAGAGGAGCTGACTCTGCGGGGGCGGCCTTGTTAAAATCGATAGCCAGTCCTGCTCCTCCTCGCGGGGTGGGTGCTGCGGCTGGGGAGCCTCCTGGTGCGGCGGGTACTGCGGCTGGGGATCGGGGATATACGGGGGGGCAAACGAGCGCCGACTCTGTAGACGGCGG